CTCTCTCTCTCTCTCTCTCTCTCTCTCTCTCTCTCTCTCTCTCTCTAGCATTTACCCAGGGCGAGGGTTATCGTTATCGGCCGGAGCGCGTGGATCAGGAATGAAGCCGACGTAACCATCGTTCTGCGGGTTAGGCCACCTCATACGCATCGCCTCCTCGAATTCCGCCGGCACTCTCTGACGGCGAGTGTAACCGCAGGGGTTCGCGAACTCCCTGTACCCTGCAAATCTGTTAGCCACCGCGTCCAGTCGATCGTTTCCCACGAGGATATGCAAAAACTGCTCATTGCGGTCCTCCTCACAGACAATCTGTACTGCAGTCTCAACCAAATACGCAGGATGCGGCCATGTTGCTCGTATTTCATCCCCGTTCATTTGCGGGGGAGGAGGTCGTGGGCGACGTGCCGCAACGACTGCTGGCCCAAGCCTGGGGCCCCCTCGACCGCGCACAACTCTACGTCTTGGTCGACGACCGTACACCATGTGCCCATCTTCTTCGTTGTTGGGTGCTTGAGGTTGTGCCTGCTCCATTCTAGTGTCACGTCGTGAGTATCTGCAACAGATGCGGTGGAAGTCAGTGTCGGTGCGCCGAACATGGGAAAGAAATATCCATAAAAAGGTTCTCCATTGTAGACAGAGTATAGCGGACAAACGACAAGCCTCCACACACCGTTTTGCACAATCGCTTTGACATTCGAACTCGAACATGGTCGAGGTTGTTATTTCTGAGCACTACGCTTTCAACTAGATCCACGAGTCCAAGTTTGAGGGCCCGGGACAATGACCGAACTGTTTCTGTCTCTTCGACTTTTGAGAATTTCTTCCTTCACAACCAGCAGAGTTATGATCCTCGTCAGGACCCGAACCCCGACACGACACGGAAACATACGACCCAGAGTTGTCACGGGATATACTGACTGAGTCGGGCGTCTGGGTCATGCTTCCTGATAGGGAGGCCGCAGCTTGTGGCAAAGAGAAAACGAGTTGGACTTCAGTGCAGCCATGAATGTCGTGGCCCGAAACAAGGAACGGAATCGAAGTGTTAGTGGAATCGACACGTGGCTTGCCCTCCTCGCACAGCAGACGTTGCTCACAGATTGTGCAAAGAGCCTTCCGATTATCCAATTCCTTTTTTTTCCCGCAAGGACGACACAATTGTTTGCACCCGGGAATACGATGTCGACAACACAGCACGTGCGTTGTTGAGGTCATTTGTCACCGTCTCTATATGTTTATCTATCTCGTCGAGGTCATTTTTGCCTTCATTGCCTTCTGCATTTGACTGGTCGAGGTCGTCCGTTATGCATGGTGGCAGACGGCGCATACGGTCACGGAGCGAAACCTTTTTTCGGTCATGATGAGGATTCATGACACGGCCACAGACTGAGCGATGTGATATCTGGAAACAAAAAACAAGAAACAAGAGTCGTGAACACATCACACATTATGGGTCGAGGATGACGTCGCTCACCGTTCATGCACGATATATATATATATTGTCCTCTTCTCTCTCTCTGCCTACGGTTTACCGAGCAGTTCTGTTTGTGACGATATATATATATATATATATATATATATATATATATATATA